TTGTTTTAAAGCTTAAATTTCCCAAATTTTTACTTTAGAGGCACAAAACTGGAAGCTCGCATAAAAAAAATTCTAGTCCACTTTCCTGATCAAAATTAGACCAAAATTTTAACAAATATTTCCAATTAAAATTCAAACTATTAAAAAAATATTGTTGTTTGAATTGAAAAAAAGATAATTTTACAGTAAGTTTTTCAAAATGAGGTCCATCTCTCCCGGACTCACCCTACCCCGAGCTCCTATAAAATCCAATCCGTCACTTCTAGCCCATTGTACTATTTTCATACACCTAATTTCGTTCGTATGTTGAAATTAGATGGGAGGTGAGTGACCAGAATGTTGGACAAGAGTGCATTAAGATTGCATAAATGGATTCCAGGAAATCCACTTATTTAATAAATAGAACGATGAACTATCTGTGTCAACCGTCATGTCGAGAGGAATTAAATTAAGATCGGCTTGTTGATTCCCACATATCGGCCATTATTTTCACCTACGATCGATAATGGCGAAAACTGAAACATTATATTTACTTCCAAGCATCGTGATCTAATCCAGTTGTTCCACTTTGAGGCAAAAGAGACAATTTTAGATATATTATTCGAAACTAGGGCTCGAGAGAGAATCCCTGCTTCTTACTTGACAGAATCAATGTTCTACAATCTTACAATTTTACTCATTTTAAAAAAAAGTGACATTAAAAATGTCAAAAAACAACTTATTTAAAAAACTGAGCAAAACAAAAACATTGTAATAAAAAAAAACACATAAGTTTGTTTGTAACTTATTTTTGAGACACGCTGTACCAATTTATCAATTACTATATAATTTTTAATATACAGGGTGTCCTAGCGAGTTGAAAAAGTCCATTAGTGTAAAATTGAAAAAAATTTATTTTATCTATCACTCTCAACCCGTGTAAAAATTAATTAACCATTTCTCTCGCGCAAAATAGCAATTGTTTTTGGAGAGGGGAGCACGGAGCAATTTTGTTAGACACTATACCAAAAAATACAAAAATTTCGACAATAAACAATGATGAAAAATAAAAATTCAATTCAACTTTTACTGCACCGGACGGGTTATTTTGGTTAATTAGTATTATTTGGGCCAAAAGTCCATAAAAATAAAAAAGTTAAAAAAATTGATCAAGAGTGCGTTGAATTTTAATCATTCAGTCTGACACTTCTGACAGTTGTTGACATTTCGCATCAATGTGTTTCACACACACTCTTCAAGAAAATCTAGTGAAAACGATAGAAAAACGAATGATTTGAAAAAGGCAAAATTAGTAATTAGTGTCTGTGCAAAAGTTGGTTTTGTTTATTAAGAATTTTATTTAATTTAATTTATTTTTTAATTTGAGGTTATAACATGAATTAATTATTTCTATCGACCTAAAAAAACTAGATGTACCCACTAAACTAACAAAAAATAGATTTCCAATTTATTAGCAGAAAAATTGTGAAAATTCAATAATTCAAAAAATTAATTGAACTGAATTTAAATATATAAAATATTTGCAAATCAGATAGTGTGAGGTTAGAAGGAGGCGAGCGGCAAAGCCGCAATCCCCCTTTATAAATGCTGACGAAATCTGACAGTGTGATTCGAATTCGAAATATTTTATTGTAAAAAAAAGAATAATGGATTCAGTTTAACACAAATGTGATTATTAAGTGATATTTCTTCCATCTCTTGTGCAACTGTGCCCTTTTTGGCTACTAAAACAATAGTATTTTTTTAATGTTTAACGTCAAATATCTTTTTAGTTATTGATTAGAAACACCTAGAAGTAAATAATTTTAGAAAGTCAATTTAATAATCTTTTAAATGTAAAAACAATAAATAGGGTGTTCCCTTTAAATCTTTTAAATTATTGAACTTTTAACAAAAGCCCTCATTTTTTTTATCTTTGCAAATGCAACACACTAAAAAATGTTACAACCTTATAGTTTGTGCCTTTTTCTATGCGGTAGTAAAAAATAAGGTTTCTAGATGTCTTAGTTTTTGTGTAATAAATTTTCAAAAAGTGCATGTTTTCGTCAAAAAACCGCAAAATCGACCAATAAGACATTGTCATAAAAATCTACATCCAAAAACGATAAGAAAACAACACAAGTTTGTATTGTAACTTATTTTTGAGACACGCTGTATAGTTGAAAATAATTTTAGGCGATGGACTAGATTAGTATCTATCAATGTCCTATAATTTTTTTTTAAATTTTACTATTACACCCTGTATAACTTTCTGTTAGTTTTAAATACAAATCAATATACCGCAGGTGACAGAAATAGATACATTAATTTTAACTACTAGTGTCACTCTCGAAAGTAGCAATTTTGTTTGGAGATTTTTTCATATTCAAGGTTTCAGCTCTTTTTGTGCTTTTGCTTTTTGTTTTTCCATTTGTAGACAATTTTCTGTCAAAATAATTAACGTGTGTAAAAATATCAGAAAACTAGCAATCCTTGAGAAAATATCTGTTTTCAGGATACAAAATATTAAAAAAATATAAATGAAATAACAATCTAAAAATATCCACTTCAGATATTCTTAGGGTTTTAAATTACAAATATTTTTACGCCCATTTTCTGTAATATTAAATTTCGATTATCAGCGAAATATTCCAAGGAAATCCTGGATAGTCCTTTGATCTTTGCATTTCAGCCCGCTTAACCATAATTATATTTCGGCTTAAAATCGCTCATTGGCTCATTTTTGCAACTTTGTAACTGATTAAAATAATATCAAATATCATGATGAATGAGCGAATTAAAGTCTCATGAAATTTCACTTTTCGAGTAAATTTCGAGCAAGACGAAACTTTAACTTTCAATAAATTCAATAATTTTTTTGTTCAAAAGCTTGCTTAAAAAAAACTTAACATGACATCATTGGTAATTTTTGGCTAAATTTTACGAAAAAATTACGTTTCAGAACTCAAAAAAAGACAAAAAACACCGTTGTTATCGGAATCTCTGAATTTCTTAGCTTATCTTCGAACAAAACTTTCGCAAAATTCAAAATCTATTTAATTTTTGACGAACTTTGAAGATTTTTCGGATTATTATGAACAAATTTTTTTGCGCAAAATAATTGATTTTCTGGCTAAAATATTCGGGCAAACATAAAAAATCATATTTCTGACTAGAAAAATCAATAAAACCTTCGAAAAACTGAAAATTCATTTCATTTTTCACCTAATTTGTTCGCTATTTTTGTCGTGATTTGGTGATTTTCGGTTTACTAAGAACGAAATTTTTCAAAAATTATTCCGATTTTGACCAAATTTAATGATTTTACGGTTTGTTTTCTAAAAAAACGTTTTTAAACGGTCAAAGAAATTCAAAAACAGCATTTTTTAGCTCATAAATTTAGTAAAAAGAGCGCGAAAAAATTGACACTTTCGTCGTAATTTGGTGACTTTTTTCTGGTTATAAAAATTACTTCGAAAAATGTAAAATTTATTTCATTTTCGACGTAATTCAGTGGTAATTTGGGCTTATTATGCAAAATAATTGCATTTCTGGTTGAAAAAT